GAGATGTCCGGTCCGATTCCTGCAGCATGGATCTTGAACAGCAAGGCATATCATCAAAATGGGCTTTCCAGACACACACAATAAACTGGTTACTGGGTGAATTTTTTGTGTTTCTTTTTCAGGTTGCAGCTCAGCTCTATCCTTCGTCTTGTCATCACTACTTGGTGCAGACATAAACGGTTGAAGCATGCAGCACCTCATTAGCCCCAAAAGGCGAGACAGCTTCACGGGGATAAGTCTCGTCCCCACCAGGTAAACCGACTCAGATTGCTTCAAAATACAAAACCGAAAGGGGAAGGAGTTTTACTATAGTACGACCAAATTGGTAGTTAAGTGTGACGAATTGAACAACTCCGTTGCCTGCGGTGGTCACTTGCCAAATTTGCAATCCCGTAACTCTAGGCCTGGAAGACGGTACCTGGAAGAGTTACCGAATGGTTCCGAGTTTGTCGAATAAAGCCGAGTCATGGTTTGAAATCATTCCAGCCGAGGTTCGGCGCCGCTACTCTCAAAAATGCTACCTTGCGTTCTTTCTCTGCCGGAACCACAATGAATGTCTGCAAGATCAAACCCTGGCGACACTCAGCATCAACGGGCGCGAGACCCACCTGAGCTGTAGTACGCGTGGCAGCGGCTTCAAATGCAGTCTGTGTTGATGTCCGGATGATGATCGTGAGATTGAGGCGCTCCGTTCAGCCGAGCCCAACCGGAATCTTGCTGGTGTTACTGCCTTATGCATGTTACACGGAAAGGCCCAACAGATCGTGAAGCCCAACAAAGGGGCTTCACCGACAAAGGACTTGTTGGTTACACAGCTGGAACACCCAGGCAAGAGCCCTAGGCCCGGGCGTTCCCTTCATGTATATATAGTGGTCACCTTTCCCTTCCTTCCTTGAGTTGTTGGTTACACAGCTGGAACACCCAGGCAAGAGCCCTAGGCCCGGGCGTTCCCTTCATGTATATATAGTGGTCACCTTTCCCTTCCTTCCTTGAGGCAACTCAGGACCTTTGATATCCTACGAGATTATTATTGAATTGAGCACCTTTGCTCCAAGCCCTCTAATCGAGCCCTTGTCACAATGCACATGCAATATGTGGGACAGAAACCCCCATCCGGGGTGGACCCGAACACATGGAGCTCTAGGCAGCAGAGACGTTCAAGTTGCTGCGCAATTTAGTATCTGTGCGAGGAAAGCCGCATTTGATGGACAGGGGTATTAGAGACGAAATTTTGCACCATGCTGTTGCGGCTCTGACAGACCTGTCATGTTAAGGCCACCAGCGAAAAGTTTTCAACGTGGACAAAGTTGGACGTGATGACCTCTGGGTTGAACCCCGGCTGCAGAATTAGACGTCGATTGTCGATCCTGGATCCCGGACAGTGGATTCTGGCGGAGCTCGGAGGGATGGGGATCATCTAGGGCGACACCCGTGACTTCCGGTCAAGACGCCCAAAATGTCAAAAAGCAGACCGGTGGTCCTTCCAAACATAAGCTTTGCAAGCCACAACGAGCCAGAAGTCGCACGGCGGTGTGGGCCCGGTTGTTTTCACTGCACCTACATTCGGCGGCATGCAAGAACGACCGCCGCGCGACTTGGTTGTTGCTTCTTGATCAGGCACTGTCCAGCATTGTACCATGGGTTAAATCTGTCGAACTATCCTGCTGGCAGTCAGGGTTGTGCCAGGATGATCCCTACACGTTTGCTTCATCCGTCAGTCAAACTTTGAGTCAAGGTGATCTCTGTGAGTTTGCTTCACCCATGCTCCAATCAAGCAACCAAGTCGTTCTATGAATGGTCCGTTGGAGCAAGATCCAGCACAATACCAGCCCAATATGCTTCCTTTTCTCTTGACATGACATTTTTTAAATAACACCAAATGCTCCGATAATATTTTAATACTTAAGAAAGCCTCATCTGGCCGCACACTAGTGCAGCCTATCAATCAATAGGACCTCTTCGATCTGATGATGTACGGCTTGGCCGTCGAATTGTCGATGTTGTAACCCCACAGTGAGGCGACATGCTCGATCCGAACGATCACACTAAAGATGGGTTTGCCTCCACAGCGCACGCAACAGTCCCATGACATTTGAGTGCAGAATTGAACTTGTTGAATATCTTTGCAGTGATATTTACACTATGTTTTGCGGCGGGCTAAACCGAAGTGGGACCTCTGCGCTTCGTACCGCAACAACTCGAGACGACAGTCGATGCCACGGCACAACGAGGTCTACGGCAATACATACTTGTGGAAGGCCGTTTAATCCCGCATTCTGGTCGTTCATTCCCTCATTTCGACTTCGGCCAGACGCGACGCGCGATACTCTCTCTGAATCCGAGGATTGGGGCTGCCCTTGCAGCCCACTCAACGTTTGCAATTTCTTCGCGCAGCCTCACTCAGTCTGATCAATCTAGGCTTTTCGTAGACAGATTCTGGGAAGCCGTCCTCTGGAAGTATTTTGGTGTTGTGAGGAAACGTCCTCCAATTTAGAGCCTAGATAGCCTGAGTCAGAGCTTCCCTTCGGAACCGCTTACTCTCTTTGCCAACAACCACTTTATCCAAGTCGCACTTGACCTTTCTCGTGCTCTTGTGACGTCACAGGTTTCCCATCTCCCTCGAAAGGTCCGCAGGAGAAGATGGGGAAAAATGAGAGGCCTATCTATAGGTTAGGCTGTAATAAAGGCGCTACCGTATGCTGCTTTCGCTGCGCCTACACAGGTGCAGACGTTGTGTGTGGCTGTATAGGGTATCTTTGTGTTGCGCTAAAAGAGCAAAAGTGTAGGCCTACTGAAATCATTGCAGCAGCTCCAATAGTAGCCTATATTACACGCGACATTTTGTATTTAGAAGCGCTTTTGCTGATAATTGATTGCGTATGGTGTGCAAATGTTGCAAAGCTCCAGCCAACTGGTCGAAAAGTGCATCCGACATGCTGCTTTCGATATGGCGACAGGAAGGGATTCAGTTTTGACTCGAGGATAGATAGCTGCACAACACTACGTTGTGGTATGACATCAGAAATGCGCCCTCCCCTTACCCACTACTTTACGTGTTACACTACTTCCTTGATGTAGGATCCACTGCTTCGTTTGTGCAGGGTTGCAGTGACAGATGCATGTACAGCCCACCATCGGCTGTCATCTCACAGCCTGATGCGGTGGCGCTTGAATCCATGTCCTTACCAAAATCTTTTTATGCTGAGTGCTTAGCCGGAGCAAAGAGAGGCACCGCAAGTCTGAGGTGAGCTGGGATAGACAAATCGATCGGAAAAGAGAAGGCGAATTTGTCCGCTCCTCACATTAAGGTTACCTTATCATCAACAACCCTGTCGAAAAGTTGCTTTGATTGTGACGCTTGTCGCGGCGCATCCCCAGTCGGTGTCAAACCAGCTAACCTTACCACCCTCTCCCTCCGTCGACGGACAACCAACACCCCCATGCTTTGACGGCACTCCGCTCCTCCCTCGTCAACTTGGATTTAAGCAACTGGGGTGCAATAAGGCCGCCAGCCCCGGTAAAGGTTTCGCCCGTCGCGGCAATTGACAACCCAGCTGACGAAGCTATCTGCAAGCCGGGCAACACAAGGGGTCGCGGCGAATGCCGATTTTGTCATACGCCGGGGTACAGCTGGAGTATTGTTCGCATCCGAAGTTGGTTTGCAGCTTAGCTGGAGATTTTGAAAATCCCTCATTTTATTTTACTCTACAGCCCAGTCTGGCTATTCTAATCGGTTCAACACGGCGTAAACTTTCACTCTTTGGGTCCTGGCTGTATTGATTCGCCCGCCGCTACGCCGTCCTTCCTGCCATGGCTTCCAACTTCGATGCCCTGGCCACCTCCCTGTGGGACGCCGTCTCCAACATCATAAAAGCCATAAGGTCGGCTACATCTAAGCTTGAATGGCTTTCTACCAGACGGGTAACACAATCGAGCAGGAGTTCCTCAAACAAGTCGTGCAAAACAACTATCAATTTATACACAGTGTCGAGTGCTCGAGTGCTGGCGACATACCCAAGCTGGGCTTCTTAACGAGCAGAATATCTACATTGCACTACCGCATATACAGGAGCACTATTGACACGTAGGCTGTTAAGGTCGTAAGTAAATGTGGCGCGGCACGTATTCAGAGTAAATATTACGGAATTACAATTTATTGTATTTAGATACACACGGGCCTGGCTGAATTTAAGACTGAGGATACACGTTTAGTCATGCCCCGTGAACGTTCGAAATTAAAAAGGCAGTTATGTAAATACGGTATTCATCGGAGCTGGAACCGAGAAGCGTATTTGAGTTCTTTAACCCAACTGAAAAAAAGCATCGCCATAGAT